TTTTTTTAATTTTTTTTTTTCAACATTTTTATTTATTTTTGGGACAGAGAGAGACAGAGCATGAACAGGGGAGGGGCAGAGAGAGAGGGAGACACAGAATCGGAAACAGGCTCCAGGCTCTGAGCCATCAGCCCAGAGCCCGACGCGGGGCTCGAACTCACGGACCGCGAGATCGTGACCTGGCTGAAGTCGGACGCTTAACCGACTGCGCCACCCAGGCGCCCCTCTTTACTAGTAGTTTTAACAGAAGTCGTGGAATTGACTTGCTGGCCTGCCTTAGGCCACATGCCCATCCCTGGGCTAATCACTGTGGCTTTGGAAGGGAAGGAGGGGTAGGTAGACAGAAAGTGCCGATTGGTCAGGCTGGTTACAAACCATCTCTGGAGCACTTGGAACGGGCCTTCAGGTTGGCCCCCGCACCATGTGGACTATGCGTGGAAGGAAGTTTCTCCAAGGACAATTATCGTTCTGTTCCAGAAGAGGGACCTGGAAGCTGGGCAGACAAAAAGAAATATAGCCTGTTGCATAAAACTTCTCAGCTCTTCTCAGTAGTTAACATCTGGATTTTGGTTGCAGGTGCTGTCTCTTCAAGCTACATTTGGGACTTTTGAGTCCATCTTGAGGAGCTCCCAGCATAAACAAGACCTCACGGAGAAAGCTGTGAAGCAAGGGGAGAGTGAGATTAACCGGATCAGTGAGGTTCTGCAGAAGCTCCAGAATGAGATTCTCAAAGACCTCTCTGATGGCATCCACGTGGTGAAGGATGCCCGGGAGCGGGACTTCACGTCTCTCGAGAACACGGTGGAGGAAAGGCTGACAGAACTCACCAAGTCCATCAACGACAACATTGCCATCTTTACCGACGTCCAGAAGAGGAGCCAGAAGGAAATCAACGATGTGAAGGCAAAGGTCGCCTCTCTGGAAAATTCCGAGGGGTACAAGCAGGATCTGAAAGCCTTGAAGGAAGTTGTGAAGGAAATCCAGTCCTCTGTGAAGTCCAGAGAGAAGGACATCGAGGCCTTGAGAAGCACCCTCCAGACCTTGGAATCTGACGTCTACACAGAGGTCAAGGAGCTGGTGAGCCTCAAACAGGAGCAGCAGAAATTCCAGGAGGCAGCCAATTCGGAGCACCTCACCTTGCAGGCCCTCACGGAGAAGGTTCTCCAGTCGGAGGAGGCCACCTCCCGCCTCCCTGAGGAGATCAGGAGACTCAAGGAGGAGCTGCGCCACCTGGAAACTGAGGCCCTCAGGCCGGAAGAAGGGGTTTACAAAAACTCTGATGCCTTAGAAGCGCTCCAGGAAAAGAGTCAGGGATTGGACTCCAGGCTCCAAACCGTGGAAGACAGAGTGGATGCCGTGCAGACGGCCTCTGCGCGGCACAGCGAGAGCCTAGAGGCCCTGCTGGCCAAGAGCGAGGAGCAGGAGCGGCGCCTGGCCGCCCTGCAGGAGCGCGTGGCCAGCCTGGGCCCCTCGGAGGATGACGCGGGCGGCCTGGCCAGCACGGTGAGGAGCCTGGGCGAGGCCCAGCTCTCGCTCTACGGCGACGTGGAGGAGCTGAAGAGAAGCATGGGCGAGCTCCCCAGCACTGTGGAGGCTCTCCAGAAGGTGCAAGAGCAGGTGCACACGCTGCTGGGGCGGGACCCGGCCCGGGCGGCCCCCTTGCCTCCTCAGGACTTCCTGGACAGACTCTCTTCTCTAGACAACCTCAAAGCCTCAGTCAGCCAAGTGGAATCAGACTTGAGGATGCTCAGGACTGCCGTGGACAGTTTGGTCGCCTACTCGGTGAAAATAGAAACCAACGAGAACAACTTGGAATCAGCCAGGGGCTTGCTAGATGACCTGAGGAATGACCTGGATAGGTTGTTTGTGAAAGTGGAAAAGATTCATGAAAAAGTCTAAGCGAGTTGTGTCTGCAGGGCGCGGATTTAAAGTCCAGTTTCTCATGACCAAAAACTGTGTTGTTTTCTCCCACGTGTCCCGCCCCCCCCACCATGTTCTTGTCCCCTCTTAAAAAGCAGTGGACACCCCCCCGAACACCAAGGCATTTTCTATTCTCATGCCTGCTTAATTTATTTACGATCATTACCACACACCATTGGTTTCTCAAGTTTTCTGCTTCTGCTTTTGGTTGGTTTGCCGAAGGCCCAGCCCCTGCAAATCAGGGGTGCCTTTTAGAAGGGATGTTTCTCGTGTCAGAGAAGAATGGCTTCAACTGAGGATTAACAGAAGCAGATTAACTGTAACCTCAGAAAACCCTGCCTGGCTGGCAGATTTCAAGGAAAAAAAGTGGGGGGAGGAGGCACTTTTCTTTCTAATTGTCTTTAAGGAAAATTGCTTTTCCTTTTTTTTTTTTTTTAATATTTCTGGCCGAAGTTTTCATGAGCTGTCACTCACTTCTCGTCTTCCACTTTAAACTGGCTAAAATTCACAAGTGTCAGCTCTCCATTGGGAGGGGAGCAAGCCCCTCGGGCTTTAGGTTGAAAAGAACCAGCTGCTTGACTTGATGGTCACCTCCAGTGGCGTGGGGTGTCTTCCATTCCTGAATCATCCCGTGATCTCAAAGGTAACTATGCAAAGAATCCAGATGGTTCTGAATGTGAAGGCACAACGCCCCACGGAGTTCCCCCGTGGCCAACCTGTGTCATCCCTTGGTAGGGTCCCCAAATAATGCACAGGTTGAGAATCCCGAGAAAGGGGACTCCTTGGATTCTTTCGGGAAATGTGTCTGAGAGCTGTCCACAAAGGCCTGGGCCGTCTCCCCAGGGAATGGAGGCCAAGTGTTTTTATTTTACCACAGTGTCCACGAAGAGGTTTGCTGTCAGGGCAGACCCCCATCTGTCAGTGAGGAAGGTATGCATTTTCTGTAGTTTTTTGCTATTTCCCTTTACCTTCGAGCTGTACTGTTCTTTAATGGCTGTCTTGCCCTTCAGAAAAGAAAAAAGGAAAAAAAAAATTCAGAGAAAAAAAAAGGTTTGTTTAGTTTACTGTGAAATGAACTGTATGGCTTATTTACAGTATTTTTAATTCTTAATAAACACTTGAGCTTTGTTATGACTTTTCTGGAGTGGTTGCTTTCTGAGGATTTAGCAGTTCTGATACACTAATTAGAAAGATAGGGATGTTTTCAGTTGTAAGGCTTTGTTTCAATTCTGAAACCAAGATTGCTTCATTCTTAGGCCTGGGCACATAACTTTTGATCGACTGTTAGCAGGTTTGGTTGTAGGTCACTGCTTGACTCTTTTAGTCACAGCAGAGGGTCTTAACCCCAACTCCCTGATAGAATCTTCTGGGAACTTGAAACCAACCCTGGGCCTGCCCCCTGGGATTCTGATTCAATGGTATGTGTAAAGAGGGCTGGCACTAGCATTTCCGAGGCCCCCGTCGGATTGTAAAGTGCAGCCAGGCCTGACAACCACAGTCTTAGACCATCTTAGTGACCTTCAGCCCCCGTGTTTCCTTCCCAGGTTGCTCTCCACCTCCCACCTAATATCGGATGCTGTTTATGGAGTACCTGTGTGCTGTGCATCATGCCAAGCCCTTAACAGGTCCCTGTTTCTTCCTTTTAAACTCCCCGAAGGCAGACAGTATCGTTCCCCATTTGACAGAGGAGCAGCAGGCTGGGAAGCATCACATAAGATCATTAGCTAGGAAGTGGTAGGGCTGGGATTTGAACCCAGTCCTGCTCTCAACCTGTGAACGCCACCCCCCACCAGCACCAGTGCAGGGCCAGCTGACCCGTGTAGCTGCTGTTGCAGAACCAGGGGCTGCAGGGGCTCCTTTCTCTTCCACCCAGGGTACAGAGGGAGATGAGGACCTGAGTGCCTATGTGGTCTCTTGTCCTTTCTGCCTGGAGGTCCCCTCCTCCCTGAACTTCTTTGTCAGTCATTCTGGGTCTCAGGCAGCACAGCATCAACTCTGCTGATGCTTTTCCAAAGCAGTTTGCAAATCAGGATGGACCCTTTATGGGTGTTAGAAATAATTTGTAATTTAATTTATTATTTTTTTTTTAGAGACAGCATGAGTAGTAGAGGCAGAGAGAGACTCTTAGGCAGGCTCTATGCTCCATGCGGAGCCTCATGCAGGGCTCCATCCACGACCCTGGGATCGTGACCTGAGCTGAAATCAAGAGTTGGGCGCTCAACTGACTAAGCCACCCCGGCACCCCAGTTTGTAGTTTTATTTTAAAATAGAAGAGTTTGTGATTTTATTTTAAAACAGAAGAGTTGCAAGGTATAACTAGTTTAATAACTAGTTTTGCCTTCATTTGGGGACAGTGCTGAATTTCCATGCGTGGAGAAAATTAAGTCCTGGTTTCTTTTCAGGTTGGTCGCTTGTATCAGGCATTTTCTTCATCTTCCTCTTGCCATCATTTCTTCAGTCTTTAATCTCAGACCGTGTAGTGGTTTAATAGATGCTTATTTAATATTGTAGTAGAAAACCTCTACAAAGGGTCAGAGAAGTAACCGAATTTAAATTCAGGTGGTGAAAATAAAAAATGTATTATAAATTCACATACTCCTGATGGTGGGGCAGCTGGAGGCAGATTTTATCCCAGACAGCAATCACAATTCAGTCTTGCTCACATGCCTGCTCATTCCTTCAGTGAACATTACTGACCCCACAGCTAGACGTTCTGCTACGTGAATTCAGGATGCACGTGACCGGATCCTTGTCTGGATCCGGGCCTATAGGCCAAAGGGCCTACAGCTCAATGGGGGCGATGGGCATGTAAACTGGTAGACATCCCAGGGAATTACAGGTGCTATAGCAGGTATGTTGGGGCGCAGAGGGGAATTGCCTAGTTCTGCCTGGGTTCAGCTGGGATGGTTAGAACAGGGTTCCCACAGGCCAGTGGGAAGTCTCTTGGAATGCCTTCATGGGTAGAGGTTCTCACCTTCAGTAAACCGGTTGCCCTACTAGCCTTTGTACAGGGAATAGGCACAAGTTATTGACGGTATCGATTAGACTGCAGATGATCCAGCACCAGGGTAAGAGGCTGCGGTGAAATTCCCCAGGCAAGACTGTCAGCACACTGATCCCTGAGAATGGGAAGGATGACTCACAGGGTGGTTGTGACGGCGGGATGAAGGCACGGGGGGAGAGGGTATAGCTTAGCACAGCATCTGGTACACAGTGAGGGCTCTGGGGGCTCGCTCATGCGCAGTCATACCTAAAGCTAAAAGACTGAAATAGCTCTGTGCTGCTTGGTAAATAGCTGTGGCCCTGAGCTCTCAATTCTCTCTCTAGGGACCGCTAGGCATACAGTCCAGCAATGAATAGGTTAACACCCTGGCACAGCAGGGTCCTGAGGAACCAGCCCCATGACGGCATTATTTCTGATGAGCGGGCACCCATGCTTTACCAGTGGTTAATACTTTGAAATCACCCTGTGTCCTCCTCAAAGCATGCCTCCAAATCATCGATCTGTTTTTCCAGTAACATTTGGGCACCCCCCCCCACCAGACATCTTGTGGGTTCCAAACAGAAGTCATGATTTCCCCCAGGAGTAAGTGGGGCCACTGCTCCCTGCAATTGCTTGAGCTAGAAGCTCAGGGGATCCCTGTCTCCCTGCCTCTCCACATCCACTCCTGTTGAAGCCCTGACACAGCCGCCCCATCCCACTTCTCCTAGCCTCCTCTCCACTCCATCACCGGATGATGTCTGAATTCCAGCAGGGCCTTCACTGCACCCCTGCCTATTAACTGGAAACAGGAACATCAGGTGTGCATTCAGTAGTCATTCAACAACTTTCAGAGAGTACGGACGGCTCTCTGCCAGACACCAAGGAGATGACTGAGAACAAGACAGACAGGCTTCTGGGGCACCTGGGTGGCTCAGTCGGTTAAGTATCTGACTCTTGACTTCGGCTCAGGTCATGATCTGTGCTGCCAGCGTGGAGCCTGCTTGGGATTCTGAGATTCTGTCTCCCTCTCTCTCTGCCCCTCTCCCACTTGCTCGCTCTCTCTCTCTCTCTCTCTCTCTCTTAAAAAAAAAAAAAAGATAGGCTTCCTGCTTTCAGGATTCTCATGATCCAGTTGGGAGGAGACCAACAGTAAATACGGAAGGAAATGGATATAAGTGTGCAAATGGTGGTACATGTCCTGAGGGACAGGAAGAGCTCAAGTGGCCTCTCTGTCTCCAGCCTGGCTCCCATTCAAGGAATTCCCTATGGGTGACCAGCGTGATCTTTCTCAAAAGCACATCTGCCTATGACCCTTCTCCACTAAATCCTTCAGTGTCTTCTCTTTGGCTACAGGAGGGAAATTCCAGCTCCCTGGTGTGGCTGAGAAAGAGCTTTCTGACTGCTCTCTCCCTGCCATCCAGCCTATCTTTCATGTACTCTGCTGGTAGGTGCACCGATCAATGGAGCCATTCCTCACCTCAGTGCCTTTGCACACTCTTCTTCTACTCAGAGCTCCCCACCTCCCTGCACCTGAACCCCAGGCTGAATTTGGGAGATTTTCCTACAGGCTCTTACGTTCCAGGCTCCTCGCTATGAAAGGGCTCCTCCCTCTGCATTGTGACTGCTTTTTTGTCTGTCTTCCCACTGGATGTTGCACTCCACAGATGACCGGGTTGTGTCTTTTATCTCTGCATCCACAATGATATCACTGTGCTTCGCCCACATCAGTCACAATAAAAATAACAAACATTTATTGAGTACTTACTCAGAACCAGTGTTCTGAGGGTATGTAAGGACAAACTCATTCAACTGTTACAGCAGTCATTAAGGAAAGTACTATTGTTATCCCCATTTTCCAGGTGGAGAAACTGAGGCATAGCGAGGTTAGGTATCTTGTTCCAGATACTTACTAGTTACAGCTGGTAAGTGGACAGATTTAGAACCCAGTGGTCTAAGTTAAAAACCTGTGCTCTGAACTACTACTGTAGATTGGTTT